TTTCTTAATACTTAAGTAACCAATGGATATAATCTTGACATAGTAGAGTGTAGAATAAAATTGTTGGACTGGTTCTCCCTTCTGTCAGCACCCTCTTGTTACTATCCCCTCCCCATTTTAATTAGTAATTAAGAAGAACTGCATATAATTCCAGCGATAATTTTCTCTCGGGATGGGGAAAGGAAGTCTTAACATATAGATCAGCCTTTCTGGAGTCTGCATTCGGTTTTTTCTTCTGGGTAATTGCAAATAGGCTCCAGTATCTTTTAACATGCAACATTTTATAATGTCGTGTCTAAAAATACGATAACGTTTCATGCTAACTACCTTTATTTAATGATACAATATTTTTATTTTCCGTCTATACACAAACTTAAAATAATGTTGTTTAAAATTATCTAAAATTATAACATTCTCAGTAGACACTGCATCTTGTTACATTTTTTGTATCGACGACATGTTTCAATGTGTATCACATCATCATCAGGTCTATCAATTTTAATATATTTTAAAAACTGTAGTACATTTTGCGTTGCGTTTATTGATTATTTTAATTTATTTAATTTTAAGTTTTTTGTCTCTTCCTTTTGGTTTGGAGGTTGTACTTGGATGTTTATAAACCTTTATTTAAGTTTAGTTTGTTGGAAAAATTTCGTTAATAAAAGCTGTTTGTTACAAATTTTTCATTAATGCACGTGGAACGTCAATGTATGTGAATTTCTTTAAAATCGTATTCAAGTGACAGATGGGAATTGCTAGACCTACAGTGGCGTCACCTTCATACCGAGTTTTATAATGTTAGTTACAGTGGTTCAGGTGTTCAGGAACGTTAAACGTGAAATAAAGAGAGCGACAGACACGGAAGTACGTAAAAGCTCATTTTACGTTCAGAAAACAGAAAACGTTAGTATTGCGGAAACTGAATATATTGTATACACAGAGACATGGAAAACGGGGGCTCGTTAGCTGGTGCGTGGAATAATTTTTGTTTTATTCAAATAGATGGAACTAACTGAGAAGAGAAGCGCTCTTTTCGACATCAGTAACCGCGTTTTCAAGATGGTCAAAATATAATCACATTCTATGCTTTTCGCGGTGGGTGAATATATGTAAAAAAGTTTGTGGTGTAGAGTTATATTATTTTAATTTTCATTCTTGTAAGTGACGTCACGGTATAAACAATAACAACACAGTGTTCAGACGAGGGGGAGGGGGGATTCTATGATGCAGTTTCCTTGATTTTCCCCGTAAGCAGTCACTTCAACATGCGCACGAACAAAGAGTTAATCTCGACACAAATTTTCCATGAATGTGCAGAGGCAAAGAGAGAAATATTATAAAAATACAACGTTGTTTGCTTGGTATAATTAGTCGCTGTATTGTCCAATTGTGTTGGGTCTTTTATTTATATAATTTGTGTGTGTGTGGGCCCCCCCCCCCAAAGGATGGAGGGCAACGGGTTACAATTTGGGGGGGGGGGGTAGAGGGATTGGTTGCATTACACAACGAGAAATACGCTTGTGTATAATTACCTAGAATTAAATGTCCTCGCTTGTGTGTACAAAACTTTTATATTTTGAGCCCCGTGAAATGCTGGTTCCGTACGCGTTAAATGAAACTGGCGTAATATCCTTTTTACTGCTGTATTGATTGATTTGCTGTCGTAATTGTTCAAGTACATCAGCTTTGTGTGTAAGAGTGTGTTTAAGAACAAGGTGTTTGGGAGAATATTTGGACCTAAGCTGGAGACGACTGTAATTGGGGAGTCAGTAATTTGTAATCTTCGCCGAATATTATTGGGACGATCAAACCTTTTTTTTTTCGTTTCAAAGCTCGAAAAGAAGAGAGAGCTGGGAATACAGGCGTCTATGGGATGATAATATTAAAACGGATATTAGATCTGGGTTTGGTGGAGGTGGATTTGATTCATTTGTCTGAGCATAGGGATCGGTGAAAGGCCGTTCCTAACACGCGATTTAGAACGATAAACCTTTTCTACTTTCACACTAACACAGGAAAGCGGAATAAATCTGGAACGCGCACGTTTGTGCTGCTCGTGGGATTCGAACCGGTCGATTGTAATTATCGGAACTCTGTTGTGGGAGAGAGTGGATGTGGGCCGATTAATTAAGAAGACTTGTCAGGTACAGATGAAAGATTTCATCGGATTATTCAGTCATTATTCGGGGCATGCACACAACGCAGACTTCGTTAGTTTAGAATTGTCATCTACATATTTCTAGATACCTGCTTGCATGTTTCATAATTTTGCCTTGAGGTTTGTTTCTTTGTTTCTTTGTTTAAACTGCGTAATTGATATTAACTGTAGTTGTTTTAGTTGGAATGAATGATAACTGTTGGTGAGTAAGATATAGACGATGAAGAAGGAAGGATTTGGATCTATTTCAGTACCTAGTTTCCTGTCGTGAAATGGGCCGGATGTAAGCCAACATCTTTACCGCTCGAGATGTTTTCTAAATGACGTTAGTTAGCACAGTGTTTATTGGTCTGAATCAGCAGCGAGTGACAGGAAACTTGAGAAATAACTTTCTTACTTCTATTGCCTTCATTGTTTGTTGTTTCTTATTGCTTTTTGTCTGTCTTCACTTTCTAAGTCACTAACTGCAGTGTCGACTTAGGACTTTTAAACAAGTCGAAATCGATAGCCTTCGTTGGGCTGCTCTGCTTAATTGATTGTTAAATGTTGAAATTTATTTAATTTCTTTCTTAAAGTAACGAAATTCTAATTTTCAGCGAAGACAGTTTGGCCTTTGACTAAGTGTTCGCCTTCTTTTTCGTGGTACTCCAAGGATTCTGTGTAGTGATCCAGCTATGAACATTTGTATTAAGCACGTGTTAATTCCCTGACCTCTGAGGTTTCATTGAGATCATAGCATGTAGTGGCGTCCTTCGATGAGTTTAGCCCAGTTTGCGTACTCTCAACCTTCTCGTGAGTAAACTCCTTGGCGCGTGAGCGACTGTCAGGGGTGGCTTATTATGGTCGCGGTACACCCTTGTTAACGCCTTGCTGAGAACATTTGTCTCATGTTTCAATTCTGGATAGCAGTTTATGTCGAAGTTCGGTTAGTGGTTCTCGAGAATTGTGACGTCATCCTCACACTAATTTGTTCGCTGGTTACAGTTCATAAATAATTGGCTGCTAATTTAGCGGTGACAGTGAATCTCGTTGAAGCCCGAGACCTGATGCTAGTCTGTTTTTCATCACAGAATTGTATGGAAGGGGAGAGGGTGAAAGTAAGACTTTTTTCATACATTTGTTTGCTGTTTTTTTATTATTAGTGTTCTGTCTGACGACAGGTCCATATGAACGGGATCCTTCCATCCTTTTCTCGGACTGGGACCTGTTCATATACGTTCTTGGCAGATGATCCAGAAGTGGTTTGCCATTGCCTTCTTCTGTGTGTGAATGGAGTAATTGTTGGGATGCCACGGAGGAAAACTCCGTGTTTCCTAGACCACGGCCTTGCCCAACACAAGTTATAAATCTGAGCACCACCGGGAATTGAACCCGGGACCCCAGGATTACAAGGCTAGTGTTCTGACCACTAGACCACCGTGGCGGTATTGTTTGCTGTAATCTAATTTATTTGGGCTGTGAGTGATTTCACTCTCATTTGAAAGGGCAAGTCCCTTTGTATCCTGGTACTGAACCTCCATCGCCCCAATATCGAGGCTATAAATGTCGTATTGCGTAATGAGGCTGAATGTTGAATGCCTTCGAATTTCATATCATGCAGTTTCGCACAACCCGTTAAAGTCTTTTATGCTGGTGTTCCTTCAAACGCTTGGTATGAAAATACAGCGCAACTACAATTTGTGGCGTGTATTAATCGACTAAGAGCCAGTTGTGTACAGCCTTTGTAAAAACATTGTAATGAAGTACAGTCACTTTTATAAATGGTGGTATGTGATAAGGCACAGGATGAATGAAACAGAGACAGCGATGGCCACGGTATTTTCTGGGTAAAAGCCAAGAAGGTCGCCAGTTTGAACCCAGGCTATGACGAGATGAAGACTGATGTTTTCGGTCGAGAGTGTATAACAGTTGTGTGGGACTGCATAAAAAATCTAAGGCGTTGAACATTCACTTGGGGTTCCTGTCGTTTTCGTCCCTTTTAGCTGTGACTGAACGCACTCGGCAGTGGGAACTAATTGACGAACTGCCAGCAGAGTGCATTGCAGTGTCACTTCGTAGCAAAGTGCAGATACATTGTGTGTAGGCGTTGTTACATTGGACTGTAATATCGGCGATTTGCAACCACTGAGCAGAGTTATTCGACAGTGATTCGTGGCTGGAATTAGTTTTTTCTTTTCTCTTTTTGTACCATTACTCATGGCACTTTTGGTGTCCTGTACGGAAATTGGTCGGTTATTAAGGGTTTATGAGAATCTGTAGCAAATTTACCGCTGTATATTATATTACACCTCTGGCTTTTATTAAAAACCTCAACGCAGTATTAAGTTTAAGGAACTGGACATACGGTGTAAGCAAACAGGAGTCTTCTAGGATGTTGTGCGATGTAGTCTGGTAGATGTTTACCAACGTTTCGGAGGTCGTACTGCCTCCGTCATCAGGGCGATGAGTATGAAGATTTCTGTCTTCTGGGTTGTTGCGCTGTGTAGTCTGGTCGATGTTAACCAACGTTTCAGAGGTCATACTGCCTCCGTCATGAGGGCGATTAAGATTTCTGTCTTCTGGGTTCTTGCGCTGTGTAGTCTGGTAGCTGTTTACCAACGTTTCGGAGGTCATACTGACTCCATCATCAGGGCGATTCATCGCAACAACCCAGAAGACAGAAATCTTCATACTCACCGCTGTGAAAACCTCAAATCATACATAGTAATGAACATATTTCTTGATTATTCAAGCGACTATCAGCTTGTCAAGAAGGGCCCGTGCTTATATCGACTATGAATTCTGTAGCAGCCTGGTGGTGCAGAGCAGAGCCGACTGTAAAGAATGTTCTTCTTGATTTCAGGCGCGCGGTGGGTCAGGGCTCGACCCCAGCAGCGGCAGGTACTGGGACATCGGGCGTCACCGGCTCACAACACGAGCCCTCACCTCCTTCCAGCGCTCCTCAGGCCTGCCCGACGCCTGACTCCTACACCAGCCATCAAGGTACTTGACGTGTTGCTCGTTGGTGCATGCGGGGTTGAAGTTGCTCTGGACGCGGACTTTGTATGGCCTGAAGCAAGGAGATGATTCTCAGCTAGTTTAACAGTGCTGTTTCAACTGTGTAGGTTTTACGGAGTCAATGTTAAATGCCTTTGAAATTTTGTATGTTAAGCAGTTCCCCAAAGCCTGTTGGTAACAAGCATTTTCCGAATTTATTATGTAGTTATTTTATTCTTTAATATAATTGTGTTTTGCCGCTGTAGTTTTAGAACATTTGGACTTTACTTTCGAAGGATTGATACGATATTTTTGTACGTTCTGATTTGAACATGCAGGACTATGAATTTACTTCCAGATAAGCCTTCTTATTGGCATTTAATAAAACACCCTTTTTGTACGTATTTACTTTTTCGACCAATAAATTTTCTTAATCAGGACACACCACAACTCCAGTCCATTCATACTTGATGGATCCCTCAGATTCACTGGGGATCATAGTCCATTCATGGATCCCTCAGATTCACTGGGGATCATCTGGTCACATCTTCCAGATGGTGGCCTACGGGTTGTGGCACCTTCTAAACGTTAATAACCACCTACAAGTCCACACAACTACAGAATACCATGATCTATATTTTCACACACATGATAACCTAAAATCTCGTAAATTCACATCTTGAGTCATTTAACAACGTATCCCGCATGTGAAATGTTCTCTTTCGGCACTGTATTGTGCGATTATGAGTGTTTTAAGCCACGTTAATACGTCATAGTCTGTTTGATGAGCTGCATAAACATTAGAATCTGTTAACGTTATTTAAAAAGCAGTAAGTTACGCGTTAGTACGTACTCAGCCGATCATGGCTCCTGTACGGCTGCAACGCGCAGTGTTTTAGATAAGGCTAGTATTTCGCCGTATAAACGGAGCAGAACTTCAGTCTTCGGTGTATTATAATTCTTTTATGTCGGCAATTGACTGACCGTCTACCCACAAAACAGGATTATATTTAATCGTATAAATGGAGACATGAAACACGGTCTGCTCTGAAGTTACAGTTCCTTCATTTTAATGTGGTAATTCTGAAGGGAATATTGAATGATTTATTAGTGCTTGAAAGTTAAGCATGCTCGTGAATGCTCTCACTATTTCGTATTTATTGAACCTCATACTATTGTTAGTTTATACCTCAAACAGCAGTGTATCTGTGTAACTTTGTGCATTACCTAATTTATTATTCTCTTTATCGCCATAATATCTCCGCATTAAATTGAATTACCAGATCACATTCAGATCTTTGAATCCCTTCTTTGTCCACAGGGAGCGATACGACTTTACCGAACGATATTTATTGAAATGTGTTTTTTAATTGAGCATTCGCCCACGTCCTGTATACAGTGGGATTATTTCTGGTGAGGCACTTCTCGTCGTGTGTTAGCGATAAATGTATAACTGGCTTATCAGACATATATTTTAATCAAATGTAATAAACTTATGAATTTAATACGTAAAATGTGAGACAGCTCTTCATTAGTTGAGCGATCTGGAAGTAAAACAAGACTCTACTCCTTGGAATTATTAGTCTGAGATTATAAATATGTTGTTAAACCTATGCCTTATTGGAATATTTAATTTATGTTTTGTAAAATATTCGCTTGTGACTTCCAGCTGAAACTGGAAATTCTGTTTTGTTTAGCAGGTTCTGGCGTGTCTTTGGAGCGGTCCTTATCAGCACCTGCGTCGTCCTCGCATAATGTGGGAGCCATACAGCAGCAGCAGCAGGAGGGACATCCCCCGTTTGGCAGGTCGCTGTCCAGAACGGAGGTCGTCAAGAAGTGAGTACTTCTATGCTACGTCGTCAGCCCTCTGTTCAATGTGCTTTGAGACTGAAGTAACGCTTCGCTTTGTATGATTCTCACTATAAACAGTCACTGTTTCAGGCCGAAAGAATCTCAAATTCGCTTCAGTAACTCCTTGCGTGTCGCCTTATCGGATGAAAAGGGGTAAACTGTTCTGGTATTTGCAGCTACATCAAACGGGAGACAGCGGTGTTCTTCGGCGTTGAGGAGTCGAACGAAGATGAACAGCAAGCCAGGTGGTTGGATCGCCGGAAGAGGCTCGCTGTCAGAAAGTACGGTTCCCTGAAGGAAGAGTGTCTGACGCCCGCGACAACATTAAGGTCGCCCAGAACCGCTGCCCGACAGTTGCAACTTACAAGTGCCTATGCATCTCAGGTGAGTGTTTCGGCGTCAGCTTGTCTTTGCGTGCTACTTCGTTGTTATTTGCCCCTCGCGAACAGAAACCACGCTCCCCGCTTCGTGACCGCGAAGGCTAGTTGATTTCTTCGTGATTCGTATTCGGGAGACCCGGATTCAAATCTCTAGGCGGGGACCGGCTATCATGACGGAGGTATTTAATTTTTTTTATTTGGTTCAGTCCCTTCAAGCAAATTAAAGTAGGCTTCGGCCGTTTTTTCCATATACTTTCCAATTCATTATTAATCCTTTTATTCGATGATGTATACTCTGAATAGCTGAATAAACCATAAATAAGTACTTTATTATTTTTATTTTATTTAGTGTTCTGTCTGACGACAGGTCCATATGAACAGGATCCTTCCATCCTTTTCTCGGACTGGGACCTGTTCATATACGTTCTTGGCAGATGATCCAGAAGTGGTTTACCATTGCCTTCTTCTGAGACCACCGTGCGGTATAAATAAGTATACTTAATAAATAAAAATAAATAAAACTATGGAGTGATTGAAGCTAGTTGGTTCTTTTCTAACAGACGCAAATGTGTAAGAACTCCTCACTTTTTTAACTCGAGGATTTATTTTCCGTGACGTTGTGTTTTGTTTGGAATAATGGACGATGGAAAAATCCAGAAACCCTGCAATATTAATTACGTACTCTGCACCATATATTATCAAGGTGATCGAAGGAAGATGATGAAGCCAGTTTGTTTTTCATAGTTCATGTTGAGATTATTCTCTACTTCTTTGCTTGGAAATAACTCATTTGCATTAGCTTCATGTTTCTTTCTTGTTTTTGTTTTTTTTTCTCATTTTTCTTCAACCTCCCAAGTACTCTTATTCACTGTCATGTCTTGTAGGGAGGTGGCTGTTTGAAACCGTTTCCTATCTTTCCTTATCGTGGTTCATGGTTTTTGAAAGTTGAGAGTCGCAATTAAGGACGGGCTGTCCACTTTAAACTGACAGCTGTCCTGTTATCCAGCACGACATTCGAAGTTTTGATAGCCCTGACCCAGCTGTGACATGTAAGACGCCCGTCTCGGCGCGTCGATAATTCCACGGCGTACAAAGTACTTGGTGATGCACACACCAAAGTCCCGAGTCCGTATCCGACCTCAGCCGATGTAGTAAGACTTAAACAGACACAGAAATATATGTTTCCAACAGCGTCAATCCTCGGCCACACCTAAATAAATTTTCTGAAAATATCGTTACTATTTTTTTTTACAAACGTGAACGTCTAGGCGCTCTGTTTGTCAGTGTATTTTTATCTCTGGTATATGACTCTAGTTGCTGGTACAGAGTCGTAAAAATAACCCAGTAAAAATATGTTGCAAAAGGCAATTAGAAACCTGCCATAACTTTTCTATATTCCAAGAAGTCTCATGCGTTTCGTACTGAACTGATTCTATAAGGTAGTATATTTGCGTCATATTGTGAATTAGGTTAATATTTTAATATTTTCCGTCAAATCACAATTTTAATAAGATAATAAAATATATAAAATATTTAAAATATCATATCACGTTCCGCATCGAATGATCGATTTACAAATTGGAACGTTCTCTTACGACATGTTTCGGTTATATTTAACCGT